AGAGGGAGTCGCGGCGCCGCTGGCAGAAGGGCCAGTGGCTCGAGAGCATGATGCGAGGCGCGTCTTTCGCAGATTGGCTCTCCATCGCGCAGTACAACGCCAAAGCTTCCAAAGTTTACATATATGACCTTCGGAATGGGGCAGTCCGCCCGTCAGACGCAGTGCCTTGGCCGGTGAAGTGGTTGTTGACTAATTTTCACCATAAGCATGTTTTCTGCCCTGGTATGCTCCCCAACGTGGCGAACGTCAGAAACGATGTGGTCTCTTTCATTAACACGGTGCATCACCGGTGCTGTCGCGAGGGACCCGATGAGGAACAAACATTGCCGTACAGGGTGCGTGGATGGATCACTCCCCCCTGCTCGGCAACAGTCCCTCTGGGCTTGTAATTCTGGACTGACGCACTGCAGCGTCATTTCTTAATTAATGTTTTGAAACGACGGCGGCACTTTAAGCACTGCCAGAGAACCACCAACGTGTTCCCATTTGTTCGCCTATTGTTCCGTCTCCTGCGTGATTTACATCATGTCCCAGTCAAGAACGACAAAGACATGGGCTACACACTGGTCCCCGTGGAGGCTGACGTGTCGATTGACATGGAGTTCTTCACGAATGGCGACTACGAAGAACTTCCGGATGGCTGGTGCGATTTCAATGGGCCCGCGCAAGAGTACACAGCGCTGGCTCGTTATATACAGCACGAGGAAGGCACGCCCATCGCTAAAGACATCACGCGCTCAATGTTTACACTTGGTGGTTCGATCAGATCCTGCCTGTTGAAAACGTGCAAAGCGCATAAGTCTCCAGTAGTATTTCGCAACGTGCACGCTGCTGGGAAGTTCGTTTTTGCAGGATTGTCCCATTGGGCCTCCAGGAGGCTCAGGGCAACACTCAATGAGTTGGGACATGTTGTGAAAGACAGGAGAGACGCTGCGAGGAGACTGATGCACCGACCCATGAGTCAATCCGAAGGTTTCCTAACATTTGACGTCAAGGATTTCTTCATGAGCGGCGACGCGGAGTCGTTGGTTGAAGACGTTTTGGTGTCATTTACTGGACGGGAAAAGGCAACTATTGGGACGTGCGCTCTGCCTGCTTCTGTACAATCAATATGTTGTTTCTCGAAATTTCCAGGGCGTGTGTGGAAGGTTGTAAAAGGAACGGGCATGGGATTGCAGCACAGCGGCGACCTGTCCGACCTTGCGCTGGCCAATCGTATGGAGCGATGGGCCATCAACAACTGTTTCGCTCATGGTATTACATCTACCTCAGGTTTCGAGATGACATTTTGTGCATCTACAAAAAATTTAGCTAAAGCGTATGCGTTCTACCAGGCCATCAAGGAGCGTGCCGGCTACTTCAAGCTGCTCGTATCTGGAGGCGGCCGTGGGTCCATAGGGTGGCTGGAGCTCACACTGTTTAGACGCAGCGGTAGCATAGCTTGCAAGCCTAAGTTTAAAGACATCTTTAATTACACCCCTCTCTTTTTGTAGTTGTCTTTTTCTAGTTGTCGCCCTATCCATGTGCATGTGTCCTGGCCCCGTGCACGACTCCACTCTCTGAAGGCTTTGTGCTCCCACGCAGAATTCTTCGAGGAAGCTGTCGCAACTGTACGTGGTAGGCTCTCTCAATCATACGCCCCACGTCAATTAGATGTTCTGCTCCGAGACAGGGTGCCGTGTTTGCGGTTTGCGTGCAGCACGACGCGGCATCCTGCGAAATGTTGTGGCTCAAATTGGGCTACCATCCAGACATCGATTGTGCGTTTCGGAAGACACTGCTTGCTTTCATCCACAATCCGTTTTGGAAAAGCGTCTTGACGGGGAACGTCCGCGAAAGCCGGCTGCCTCTCGTCAGAATGTGTAACTACCGTGCACTTCCCAACCTGGCGAACTTGCTGGGGCGAGTCGGAGATAGGACGGGGTAGGTGGGTTGGTCAATCACTATTATCATTTAGCGTCTCGCTCTCGTAGTTCTTTGGCTCTCAAGGGAGCGGTGACAGGATCTAAGCCCCAGTACCGAATCTGAAGGTCGGTCCCTTGACACTTTGCCGGCACAGCATAGTGAATTTAGTGATCTTGCGTACAGAAAAAAGAGATTTCAACACAACGCGATTCCTGGTAGCCCATTCTTTCGGTTCGAAGTTTTCATAGGTTCGTGCAGTTTTTGTTTTCGTTCTCTGCCTCTTGGGCCGTTCTCGGGCCCCAGGACCGTCACAGACGGATCCGGGGTGATCTGGAGGGTTCCGGGGACCGATCTCGAGCCGATGTGCTCTTCCCCCCGCCCGCCCCTTTTCCTTGACCAGTGTTGTCTGGGCCCGTCCAAGTCGGACCCTGTGCTGGCCGCCTCCAGGGCGAGGTGGGGGGGCGGTGGGGCGACGGGGAACATGAAAGTGGAGGAGGAGGAGGTGGAGGAGGAGGAGGAGGAGGAGGGGGAGGAGGAGGAGCAGGAGGAGGAGGAGGAGGAGGAGGAGGAGGAGGAGGGGGGGGGCAGGGGGAAGGGGGTGCGGGCGGAGGAGCTGGTCGAAGGGGGGAGGGGGGGCCGACATTGTACGATGTGTGTGTGCGACAAGCATGCATCTCAATGCATACACACATATATATGTATGTATATATGTGCGTACACACATATATATATATGAATATATATTTGTGTATATAAACATATATTGAAAAGAGACAAGAGAAAACCCAATCAGATTTTTGTTTTGGGCTATGGGGCCATAGGACTACAAGGCTATAGGTGTTTTGGGCTATACATCTATAAGGACCATCGGGCTATTGGGCGATAAGGCTATATGGGCTATTGGGCTATAGAGCTATAAGGCTATAGGGCTACATGGCTATAAAGTACCCGGGTACCCCTGGGCACCTCCGGGCACCCCCGAGCACCCGGGCGCCCGGCCACCGGCCACCGAAATTTTGGGGCACCGGGCACCCACGGGCACTTGGGCACCCTGGCATCCGGCCACCGGCCACCAAATCGGCGCCCCACCTCACCTAACCATATGAATCCGCTATATGCATAAATGATACCGGAGAAAAAAAACAATCCGATTTTTGTTAAGGCTATTGGGCTATAGGGCTGTACGGCTATCGGGCTATAGGACTATAGGGCTATCGGGCTATAGGGCTATAGGACTGTGACCTATAGGGCTATAGGGCCATGGGGCTATAGAGCTATATGGGCTATGGGGCTATAGGGATATAAGGCTATTAGGGCTATATAGGGATATAAGGCTATAGGGCTACAGGGCTATAGGGCTATACGGCTATAGGGCTATAGGGCTACTGGGCTCTTGCGCTATTCGGCACCCCCGGGCACCCCCGGGCACCCGGGCACCCGGGCACCCGGGCCCGGCCTTCGCGAAATCGGCATTCGGGCACCCCCGGGCACCCCGGCACCTGGCCCCGGCCACCGAAATCGGCCGCCCACCTCACATCAGCTTTATATCCGCTAGGACCCCTACAGAAGCAAGCTCTGATTGGGGAATATATATGATACCGGAGAAAGACCCCAATCATAATCTTTTTAGGGCTATATGGGCTATAGGGCTATTGGACTATAGGGTAATAGAGCTACAGGGCTATAGGGCTATAGGGTATAGGGGTATAGGGCCATAGAGCTATAGGGCAATACGGCCTTAGGTGTATTTAGCTTTAGGGCTATAGGGCTATGGAGCTATAGAGCTGTAGGGTTATAGGGCTATAGGGCTATTGGGCTATAGGGCTACAGGGCTATAGGCCTACAGGGCTAAAGGGCACCCCTGGGCACCTCCGGGCACGCCTGGGCACGCCCGGGCACCCGGGCACCCCCGGGCACCCGGGCACCCGGCCGTCGGCCACCGAATCGGCGCCGCACCTCACCTAACTATATGAATCCGCTAGGGCCACTACAGAGGCAAGCTCTGATTGGGGAATAAATATACATGTAGATTGCGAAGGCCTTACGGCCAGTGCTTCCGACCATGAGAACGACGAAGATGAAACCGATGGGGGGGGCAGGGGGAGGAGGATGAGTGGGAGGTGGAGGAAGGGTGGAGGAGGTGGATGAGGGAGGAGGAGGGGGCAGAAGGATGTGGAGGAGAAGCAAGAGGAGGAGAAGGAGGCAGAGGAGAGCAGGAGGAGGCGGAGCAGAAGGGGGGGAGGAGCAGGAGGAGGAAGAGGAGGAGGAGGAGGAGGAGGAGGAAGAGGAGGAGGCCAGAGGCTTTCTTGGGACAGCCTGGGGCTCTCTTGAGGCCGTCTTGGGCCGTCCAGGGCTCCTCGTGCGCCGTCTCGAGGCACTTTTGGAGGCCTCCTGGGCAATTTGGGGCTCTCCTGGGCTGTCTTGGGGCAGTTTGGGGGCCCCTTGGGAGCCTCTTGGGGCCTCTTGGGGCTTCTTCGGGGCCTCTTGGGAACCTCTTGGGGCTGAGCGCTCGAACTGTCCGTTCGGGTCCCCCCTCTGGGCATTGGAGGCGTCTTGGGCCGTCTTGGGGCCCTCTTCGGCCGTTAGGGGACCCTCTTGGGGGCCTATTGGGTCGTCTCGGGGCGATCTTGGGGGCCTCTTGGGCCGTCTTGGCGCGTCGGGAAGCGGAAGAGGCAAGAACGCCAAAATTTTCAGAAACGTGTGGGAAATCCATGGATTTTGCCTCTTGGGGCCTCTTGGGCCGTCTGGAGGCCGTCAAGGCGTCTTGGACAGATCGTTCGGCGATTCGGGGTTCTATTGGACTGTCTTTTGGGCCTCTTGGGGCACTCTTGGCCCGTCATGGGGCTTTTTTGAGCTCCAGGACTCCCCAGGGGGGGCGTCGTATCTGACCCCCCCCCTGGGACCCCCCCCCGGGACACCCCCCGGCCCTCCTCCCCCGCGGGGGAGGTATCGAAGGGAACGGGTTTCCCTTCGTCTCAATTACGACGTTGCTCAACTTTGCTTTGGCTGGCGCGCTGAGGAGGTCCCTGGGAAAGGGGGGAGCTTCGATGAGCCCAGTGAAAGGGGGGAGGCAGGGAAAGCGGACGACAGAGACGAGAACCAACGAATGACGGAGATGACGACTTGAACGGACAAGCCCCTCACACATGCCGACAGGGTCGGCGGATTTGTATCATGTATGGTGTGTATATGGATGTATGTATGTGTGCACTTCGTATAAATGTATCATGTACAAAGTAGAACTGAACATCTGTAACTATATATGGGCATGCCCAGCTACATGCGGCAAATCCCGCCACCGTGCCTATGCAAAAGCGCAGCAAAAGCGAGACAGCGCAATTCCGACGGCTGGGCTGAACTAGGGCGGGTCGTGAACTCGACCTCGTCGTCGTCGGTCGCGCAGTAGGGTGGAGGTCGAGTTCACGTCACTCTGCGGTACAGCGAGCAGTTTGAACTGAGGCGGGTCTTGAACTCGACTTCATATTCGTCCGCGCGGTAGGGTGGAGGAGTAAAAGGAGGAGGACGAGGACCACGAGGAGGAGGACGAGGAGAAGATATAGAAAAGGAAGACACTGGGAGCCCCCTGGGGGCCTCTTGGGGGCTTCTTGGGGGCCTCTGGGGCTCTGTGGGGCTCCTGGGGGACCGTCTGGGGGGACTCTGAGGGGTTTCTTGGGCCGTCTCGGGGGGCTCGGCCCATCTGACGCCCTCGGAGGCCGTCTTAGGGGCCTCTCTGGGCCGCCTTGGTGCCCTCTTGGAACGCTTTAGGGCCGTCTTGGGGCCATCTTGGGAGGCGCTTGGGCGATCTTGAGGTCCTGTTGGGCCGATTTGGGGCCCTCTTTGGGGCCTCAGCGGCTGTCTTGGAGCTGTCTTGGACGCTTCTTGGGCCGTCTTGGGCGGCCGGAAAAACAAACAGGTGAGAACCTTAACATGCCTCAGCATACGTACAGAACATCAACGTCCGGAGTATTCTTGGAAGCCTCCTTGGGAGCCTTTTTGGGTCGTCTTGGCAGCCTCTCGAGCCGCCTTGAGGCCGTCTTGGGCCGCGTTGGTCTCCTCCTCGCTGCCTTGGAGGCCGTGCTGGAGGCCATCTGGGCCGTCGGGGGGCAGCAGCAGGAAACCGGGGGCGCGCGTCCTCAGGCGGGGGGGGGGTCTCCGAGGCACGCGCGCGGGGCGAGGGGCGTCGTGGCTCTCGCCCTGCTCCGCCCCCCCCCGGTCGGCCCGCGGCTGGCCCGTCGCAGCCACCCGTGGTGACGAGAAGGTCCTGGCTGATGGCCCCCCCTTGCGGGCAATATTTATATCCACATCCAGTGCGTCTTGGACTTTCGTGGAGGGGGCGCCTCGAGGCCGAGGCGCACTGGATGTGGATGGATAAACATCGAGCCTTTGGGAGGCAAACTAGAATCCATGTCCAGTGCGCCTCATGTTTCTTGGGAAGAGAGTGCGAAGCTCCAAGACGCACTGGATGTGGATATAGACATTGCCCGCACCCCTGGCTCTTCCCCTCAGCCCAAAACGCCTCGGGCAATGCACAAATCACGTCGGGAGGTTCTCCCTGATTTCCGGCCTCTGGGGGCCCTCGCAGCAGGGCCCCGGGACTGTCAAGAAACGACTCAGGATGAAGGACCGGTGCCCGGAGAAGGGGTCCTGGCCTTTGGGGGTCGACGTTGTGAACAAGCAAACACGACGTCGGGGGCCTGGGAGTGGCGCGCAGTGCCCTCCGCCTTTTGGGCAGCACATCACGAGAGCCAGTTCTACCCTCTTCAGTTTTGTGTCTTTGGCGTCGATGGGCGTCGATCAGCGTCTGAGCGTCGATCAGTGGCGCGCGTCGATTGGCGCTGATTTAGCGTCGTTTTGCGTCGACCAGCCTCGATTTGGCCTCGAACCCTTCTTGTCCCACTCCATTTTCCAAGTCTCCGTGTCGTGTACGCTCGATCCATTCGCAGATCGGAGATATAGGAAAGTGTGGTTCGTGAGTTCCCACAAGTTGGTTCACAACATCACCGTTAAGCAACATCGCCGTTAGCCTGGCCTCGGATCAGATCGAGGTCGGTTCGGGGAGGGTACCCTGATGTTCTTCGTGCTTTTCAGATGTTCTTGTGCATCCTGGGGGGTGCCCTTGGATGTTCTGCGTGTATTGGCCGGCGGACGGTCTCATGTTCATGAAGGATGTTTTTCTGTCCTAGGTCCGACCGTTGCAAATTATGGTCCCCCTTTTGAGGGCTTCAAATTCGCCTTTGGGGGCCCTCTTGGGTGCTCTTGGGCGACCTTGAGGCAGTCTGGGGGCCTATTGAGCCCCTCTTGCGGCACTGTTGGGCTATCGTGGGGTCATCTTGAGGCCTCCGAAACGCATCGGAAGCGAAAAGGCGAGAAGGCAAACTACACTGATGTTCCTTAGGCCTTTGATGGATGATGGGGGGGTCCCAGGTGGGCCCCGAGAGCACTCTGAAGCATCGTGTGATCATCTTGGGGCCTTTGGAGGTATGCTGGAAGCAATATTGAGCCATCTTCGGCTGTCTTGAGCTCTCTCGGAGGCCATCTTTGAGCATCGGACGCCCTCCTTGTACCATCTTGGGCCATCTTGGGCGCCCCGACATTATGCGACCCCCCCAAAAAAAATATCAGGGAGTGGATGGGGAGAGGGTACACCTCTCCCCGAAGGGAAGTGGGTTCTCGAAGAAGAAAAAACCATATCGTTTGACCACCTACGCCCAGAGGGCCCGTGGGACTCCCACGGCGCCGGGGCGAATCGTGGCGTGACCAAGGGGGGGCGGGGGGGAGGGAGGTGCCTGGGCTGTTCGCGGGCGTTGTCGCGAATGACGAAACATTGGCTCTAGCCACGTTGTGGAAAAACAGAGCGTCGAAGGTCTAGGAACATGGGTTTCGTCGGCGGCGAGCGAGGGGGGGGAGTGAGGAGGAGGAGGGCCTCTCGGAAGGTGCTGGGACTTCTTAGAAGCCCTCGCGCCTTCTCAGGAGTGCTTTGGGTCCCCGGGGAAGCCTCGGAAAACTCCTCCGAAGGCTGGGGGACTTCGAGCCTTCTGAGAAGGCCCGCCCCCTCTCACTCCCCCCCCGCGCTCGCCGCCAATGCTGGGCTCCGGCGGGATTTGGCACCACCTCCGGGGCCCCCCCCGTCGAAGCACGGCCGCCCTCGGCGCAGAGGGAGGCGCCGCGGCGAAAGCGCCGGCCGCACAGCTGCAGCCTGCTCCCGGCCAGTGTTGGCTTCGATCCGACTCGATACCTGTACGACCACTCTTCGAGTGAGAATGGGAGACGAACCAAAAACAGCTGCACAAACATACGCTTTCGGCGCTCTGCGCAGATCTCTTGGGTCCGCGCTGGGCCCCCCCCTGCGGCGCCTCCGTCGCCGCCCCCGGCGCGCTCCGCGCGCGAGGGAGGGGGGGGGTCCAGCGCGGACCCAAGAAATCCGCGCGGAGCGCCAAACGTTTACGCTCAAGGCCTTTCTCCCCCTCATCTCGAAGAGGAGGCCGGGGGGTGGGGGGAAGGGAGCCAGCTGCCACCGGGGCGCGGGGCGGCCCCCCCTGCCTCGGCGCCCCCTGCCCCAGCGGCGAGGGCCCCCTCTGGCCTCCAAGAATCGGGCGATCGCAAGCATGGATTCAGGGGGCGTGGATTCGCGACGGGCCCCGCTTCCACGGGACGGCGCGGGTCCCCGCCGCCGAGCGAGGCGGCCCCGGCCGCATCCTCCGGGAGGGCGCCCCTCCCCCGACCTGGCGACCGCGCGCCCATCCCCGGATCGCCCGGTCCATGCCTTCCGCGCCCCTCGCGACGGAGCGTGCCCCCCTGCCGGGCTCGCTTCGGCCAGGAGGAGGAGGAGGAGGAGGAGGAGGAGGAGGAGGAGGAGGAGGAGGAAAGAGGAGGAGGAGGAGGAGGAAGAGGAGGAGGAGGAGGAGGAGGAGGAGGAGGAGGGAGGAGGAGGAGGTTCTCGGGCGACGCGCGCGAGCTCTCTCGGGCGTGCCCTCGCCGCCCACCTCGGCGGTCTCTGCGTGCCGCCGGGCGCCGCCCGTCCATGCAGCTCCGCCTCGCTGCCGCGGGGGCGCTCCCGGGCGGTGCCCGGGAGGTCGTCCCGAGCGGGTGCGGGAGAGCCGAGCTCGGACTCGAGCGCACAGTCCTCGAGGTCGACTCGGGCCGGACGAAAGGGGGGGATTGGGAAAGGGGGGGATGCGAAATTTGCTGCATGCAGCTGGTTTCGGCCCCACCGAGGGGCCCATTCCTCGATACATAGTCGCCTCCGGCGCCGGGAGGCGCCAGGAAAATCAGCTACGTGAGCTGATTCTGAACCTCCCCCCCTTTGCTATCCCCCCCTTTCGCCCGACCCGAGCAGTCCTCGAGGTCGACGCCCTGCACGCACGAGCCGGGTGCGGAAAGAGTGGGTGCAGTGCCCATCAGCAGTGCCTGTCCGTTTTGGACAGGACGCGCTGTCCGCGCAGACGCGGCCTGTGTCCATTTGAAACAGAGGGCCGCCTGCCCAAGACCGGCCGCTGTCGGTTTGGGACAACAGTTGTTGCTGGGCATTGTACCCATTTTTTCCGTACCCATTTGGGGCGTCCAAAATCACCAAGATTGGCGGCGTGCCTCCACCGAGGGAAAACGATCCCGGTCTCGGTGATGGTGGCAAAATTCTGGCTTCCAGGGCGACCGCGAAATATTATACCACCAGCACCGAGACCCAGGATCAGCTCCCCCATCAGGAGGCAACCCCCTGTGCTGGTGTTGGTGCCAATTTCCAGGCCTCCAATGACTTGTGAAAGTCAGGGAGCGCCAGCAGTGCGGGGCTGGCCCCAGTGAGGACGACTCGGCCCTAGTCGAAGATTCCTCGCCACTCGGGGCTCGGCTGCGTGCCCCAGCCTGGCTGTGAACGTGCGGTGCCGATGTCGCGGGCCAATCGTCGATCTATCGGCGATGTGTCTCAGATGCGAGGTCATTATTCCTCTCTTTGGGGCCAATCCCGCTCATCGCTACCCCTCAAGAGGAGACCCGGGACATCGACGCACAGGTCAGGGTCCTGGAGCAGCAGATCGCCATGCGCAGGCAGGTAAAGCTCGGCACGGAGAAGGAGGAGGAGGAGCTGGCGAGCCTCAAGGCCAGTCGGTGCTTTCCTGCAAGAGTCAGGAGGGGAAAAAACGCACAGATACAATTACTTAATCGTCGCCTCCCAGGAAAATACGGGAGAACATGGGAAGTGGGGGGGAAGATAAAAACCCAGAAAATATGGGAACAGATGGGGAATCCTTTTATTTGTGTGTATTTTTTTGCGTGTCCCAGGGCCCCTTCAAACATGCCTGCCGAGGTCGGGATTTGCGGATGCACCTCAGAGGAGCCTGCACGGCTCGGGTCGCCCCCCCCCGCCCATGGGGAGTCTGTTTCGGTCTCGTCCGTGTCGTGAGTGTGCCCGAGGCCAAGCTGCGCGGAGGTGTTGATGGACCCGGGCGTAGCAAGTGAGAGTCAAATCTGGCCAACCATTTTACGCGCCCGTCTGGCGGTTGCCCGCGGGGTTTTCCCGTGGTTGTCCCGTGGGTTGTCACGTGGTTGTTCCAAGGTTGTTCCGTGGTTGTCCTGTGGGTTGTCCCGTGGTCGTCCAGTGCTTGTGTTTCCCATGGGTGTTTCTGGTTGCCTCGTGGGTTGTTCCGCTGCGTGTCCCGCGGTCGTCCCGTGGTTTGACCCGTGGTTGTCACGTGTTTGTCCTGTGATTGTTTTGTGGTTGTCTCGTGGGTCATCTGGTGGATGACACATGGTAGATACAAGCTGGATTTCTCAATCTGCAGATGGACAGGCAGAAAGCCATGCAGTCTGATAGTGCAGGTTGTACTTGTAGATATGTCATGTGGACGTGCGTGTATGCAATCACTCGTTCACATCAGGAGAGTTCCGGCCCCCCGCCGATCTCCAGACGAGGAAATGTGCGGCCTCCAATTGCGTGTATGTTACTTGCCGTTCCCCACTTTGGTTCTCGTGTGTACAGTCAACCCGCATAGTAAGGATGAGACGCTTTCCAAAGTTACTTTGGTAATGATGATGCTGCTGATGATGATAATGATGATGATGGTGAAGCTGATGATGATGTTGATGATGATGATGATGCTGATGATGCTGATGATGAAGATGATGCTGATGATGATAATGATGATGATGGTGAAATGATGTGTTATTATTGTGCGCTCGGCTGCATCACATCATCATCATCATCATCATCATCATCATCATCATCATCATCATCATCATCATCATCCGTAGCCATTTTGGCTCCAGGCCAAGATGGTGATTCTTTAATTGCCTAAGCGGGGTAGGCTCCCATCCATACATCCAGAGTCTCGTGCTCATGTGTTCGCAGCACCAATCAGGGGTGAGCTGCCACCCATTGCGAAGTTTCGCCATCCATGTCGTAGCTGTACCAGCACTTCATATCTCCTGCGGTGCGCTCCAGACAGAGACATCGCGCGTCATCGAATCCTCACGGGTACACCAGTTGTGTACCGAATGGCTTCTGATAGCGGCTCAGGTTCCAGTTCATCCAATGCCAGTGCTCCCCGGCAACATCGCTCGCATCCTCGTCGCCACGGAACACAGTGGATGACGCAGCGATCGAGGGGTCCTCACCATTCCCGCAGCCAGCAGGGAACAGCGCCGGGATCGACAAGGCCGCGCGCCAAATGAACAACCAGCTCTGCACCGAGAACGGGGAGGACGTGACAAGAGGTTCTCGTCGGCCAGGCAGCTGGGGTGGAGGTGCATCTAGACACCAACTTTCGCAGCAGCAGCGACAAGCAACATAGGTTTGTCAGCTCATGGAGGGAGTCGACGACCTCCCCGCATTCCCAGATGCTGATCGGCCCCGTGCTGACCCGCTTCGTGATCGAGATCCATGGGCACATGCGACTGCTACTCCAGTCGATGGGCCACCCACGCCGAATACTCAACAATGTGCTGGCGGACGTGGCGCTGGGGCAGGCCTGGCGCTGGAGGCCAGGCTCACGACCATCTTCACCGAGCAGATGCAGCTGGCCACATCGAGACCCCAGGCAGAGACCACCTCCTATCCGGCAGTCAGCCGCGTCCAGTCTTCATGCTGAATTTCAAGCAGTCATCGGTCAAGTTCGCCAGCAGGATTCGCGGCTGGACACATTGGATCACACGGTCAGGAACACCAGTCAGAGAGCCCATGTTGTCGAGCAGGAGCAGCAGCAGCTGCGCGCCGACGTCGAGCGTACCCAGGCCAGCCTCGCTATGGCAGAGGCGACGCTCCCACCGCTCGACATGGCAGCGCTGGCAGTCTGGGATTGCCCACCAAACCCCAACCTCCTACTCCATCGTTGCAGCGACAGCAGTGCAGCCATCAGAGGCCTGTAGGGCCCTGGAACCATGGATCAATGCGGCTGGTGTTGCCCTTTCGGACGTGAAGCTGGTCGGTGACGTGCCATCCAGACGATTCTACTTGCGGGTCCTGGGCGGTGCTGCAGCGTCCTCTCGTAGTGTTTCCCTGGCGAGGAATCCCCGCCAGGGGGGTAGATGGGGGCATTTCTCCTGCAACATCACCAGTGGCGCCGTCACCCCGCTCTACATCGCCGCAGACAAGAGCCCCAACACACAGCGGCGTGACATCCAGACGAAGAAGCTCGTTCAAATACGTGGAGAGCGGAACGAGTGACATTTTTACAGGACGGTGGGCAACGACGGGATCGTCTTTTGCAGCGCCATCCCCATCGTCAGTGTGGAGGTCGGGGACAACGCCTCCGCTGCCACGCAATTCAGATGGGGCGGCGCAGCCATTGCAAGCCCCGGGATTGGCACGCAAAGCACCAATGATACATTCCAACGCGTATTTCGTGCCACCGACAATTCGCTGTGGTTTATTTAACGGTAGGTGGGCCCCGTGGCGTATCAACCAGTGCAGTGCTGACTCACGATCAGGGCAGATTGTGTCTTGGAGTGCCAGGTGCCCTTGATGCCGCAATGCGCGCAAAAAAAGAGAAAGAAGCTGCTTCGTCTCGAATGAGATTCGCGCAATGCTTCTCTCATTCTGCTTCGAGAAACGCACGGTATCCGACAACAACTTGAAGTGTTCATGGCGCCCTCCCTTTCCTCATCGTGTGGGGCACTCACGGGTGACGCAGTCAAGGAAAGGAGGCGCTGCGTTCCTCCTCTCAGGGGGTCGCGAGGCACTACCAGCACAACGCCCTCATGCTCAATTTCGTACCCTAGTTCCTGGGCGGATTGCTACAGATCGCATCGTCCCTGCTCGTGGTCACTACTCTATGTTGGGCATGAGTGCACACAACTATGATATTGCTCCCAGATGCAAACACTGGGGAGGGTGCGGTACAATGGAGTCATTGTGACCCCCACCGCCGCGCGTTCATTGCCATGGGTGACTTCAACATTCGTGATGCAGAACTTCCTGGCTACGGCGGGCCGGCTCCGTTGCGAACGCCATTGCCGACGGTGCGGGCATTCGAGCCGAATTAGGTGTCTCGGCGTGCTCTCTTTGATCTAACGCAGGAGGTGCAGGCCGACGCCCCAACCCACTCCAGTCGCCAACAATACGCCGCCTTCGCCACTGACTAGGCCTTTCTTGCCATGCCCGATCACTTCCTCCTCGACGCCGACGTCCTCCTGAATGTGGATTTCGACCCGCCCGAGATGCCTCGGGTGAGTTTCAGCGACCGCTCCACGCTGCTGCTCAACCTCAAGTTCAGGGCAGACGCCGCGGACCATCGCATCCCATATGTGGTGTTCAGCGACGTAAGGTGTAAGGTTGTGAGGGGAAATGTTATGGATGCGGCGGAGCTGGATCGCTTCCCTCCTGTCGCCAGATGGCAGCATCCGAAGGATATGATGATTGAAGCGGTTAGACAAACTCGGGGTGACTTTCAACGGCTTCCCTTCCGTGCAGGCGACAAGCGTGCCCGAGGGGGGCGCAATGTCACGCTGCGTAGCATATCTCGCGCAACCTGGAGGTAAGGTGCGAAGTTCGCGGCGCTCATCACCGCTAGTTCAGACGAGGGTGCCAAGTATGTTCAACTTCGAGATGGACAGGTTCAGCTCAGGGAGGCAGACGCTTTTCGCCGTCAATTTCGTTCCTTTCATTCTGCTGAGTTCCAGGCCATCCACGCATTTGCAGTGCAGGTAGCCCAGCGCGCCCTACGAGGTGGTCAACAGCAGGGCGCAGCACGCCACATCAAATCCATCAAGGCGATGCTTCGCCGTGCCATGCTATGGTGATTCCGAGGCCGTCGTCTCGTTCCAGCGGGGGCCCTTCCTGAACATGGCCTCGTGTCTTCCCAGTCGGCAGCCGCCACAGATCCCAGCAGTGTCTTGGAGGCCTTTCGGCGTCACTGGTCAGCGCGCTTTCGGGCGCGACCAGCCAATCGACTGGAGATCAGACATCGCTTGGAGCGACGCGATCCGGCCTGCGAGATGGCCGACCTAGCAATGCCCAGCACCACGGACCTTAAGAACACGCTCAGACATGTACGTCACATTGTTCCTGGTTCCGATAGGCCCACCATACAAGGCTTGGATGGTCTCGGAGAGCCAGGTCGCAGTCCTGCGCGGCCTTTCGCAGCGCCTCGTGGCGGGCCACCGCGCACCAGAGGCCCTGAGTGACTCCATCTTCGTGTCCTTGCCCAAAGGAAGTGGGCCCAGTGATGCTTGCGCGTGCCTGCGCGGTCCTGGTCAGATTCGCCCTCTCTCGCCGCGCAGCGCGGGTTCTAGGGCCCTAGCTTCAGCGGCCAATCAGAAGCTCAGTGGACTGGTCCGCGCGCGCGCGCACCAAGTCCAACCGGGATTCCCCCCTGGCAGGGCTTGTTTGCACAAATTTATCCATCTAGACGCAGCCGCCCGATCGGCTAGCACCAGCAAGACAGCCGAAGCTCAGGCGCCTGTCTTTGTTGCGTTCGATATGGCCGCTGCGTTTCCATCCCTTGGCCACGATTGGCTGCGGGAGGTTCTCTCGCGATTTGGCGCGCCTCCCGGATATGTGAATTTGCTTGCCTCGCTGTGCTTTGAACCCCGCAGCTTTGCTTTGCTTTAGGGCGAAATGCAATGTATGTTCCATTTGCGGTCGGGCGCAATGCAAGGTTGCCC